CAAACCCCCCCCCCCCCCATTTGCTCCTCTTCTTGAAAAGCAAAAGAAAAACTCCATCTTAACCCTGTGTTTAGACTCTGGTACTTCAGATTCCATCCAAAGTTGTTTGATCTCAGTCAGTGCTATTTTTTATTCATTGTTCAGGGATTAGTTATTAGGGGAAAAAACGGGAACCTCTACTCCTTTGCCTAACTACTGTCTCTCTAAGTTCACTTCTGTAGATTGTTGTTGTTGTGTGCTGTCAAGTCGCCTGCGACCCATAGAGACCGTACGTACAGCAGCTCAGAACCCTGCCTTGTCCCGAGCTGGTCTTATCAATTCTGACACACCTTTATTGCCTTGAAATAATGTTTTAAAATATTTTGCCCATCTCTCTTATTCGTGGTATTGCTCTGAATTAGTAATATGTCTTTATTGCAAGTAGAATACTATTTAAGTTGTGAACACTTACATGCTTAAGTAATATGACCACAGTATTTTATTTTTTTTAACTTAAAAGGTTCTGAAGCAAAACCATGTGGATGATTGTCTGCGACATATATCTGTAAGAAGATTTGAATCATTTAATCTGTTTTCAACGACAGAAGCTGAAGTGGAAACTGAAGAGGAAATTGGTACATGGGTCCAATATTCAAGTGTCTTCTATCCTGAATACAGTATCTTCTTAAGGTAACCATATTTATAGTTAAGTTCTTTTATAGGTATTTTCTCTTACAAAAGAGAAACAATCTAATCAGAATCTCAACATTAAGTTTGCAGACAATCTTGATTAAGAACTTAGATTTTTCAGTTTAGTATGAGGAAATACTGCTGCTTTAAGTGAGTATTGCTATATTGTCAGAACTACAGAAAAATTCTCAGGAATGTAAAGACATATGAGATACAGTGATTGTAATAAAATAACTCATTTAATCGTTTGATCCTAGCATTGATTATAATGTAAATTCAAGTTCTTTTTGAGGAATAGAAGACTGAAAGTAAAAGCAGATTTTCTAAAACTACTCTGCTTAGCAGTTGTCCAAAAAAGATCAAGATTTTGGTCTTCCCATTCATTTTGTGTCACTTTTAGAAAAAGACTTTAAAAATGGAAGAAGAAAATCCCATGACAACACCATTGTTGTGAGAAGCTCACAGATTTTTGTGTATTTAAAAATCATTAGAAGTATATAAACAAAAATTGCTCCCTGAAGATGATAGAGTTTTGTCACAGCTTGTGAAATCCGTTTGCCAAGTGCTGGAACCTAATCTGCTGTGCCCCAAAGGATGTGAAAAACAGAAGAGAAAATGAAATATACTTTTAAAAACAGGTCATACATGGACCAATTTTTGGATACTAATGATGATAGCCTTGTTTCTCCCTTTTAAATCAGCAGACACCCCCTTCAGTATGTACAAAGAAAGGACTTACAAAAAACTTTCAGCAACAGTTTGTTCTTGTTTTTAAACTTTGTTTTTTGGTTAGTTATTGTATACATGAAGTAAGAGTGGATCAGTTTCTTGTTTATATATTTTTTCACCTTCTAAGACAAACAAACAAAACTAAAAGGCATCCTTATGTTGTTGTTAAGTGCTGTCGAGTTGTCGGTGACTCATAGCGACCCTGTGAATGAAAGACCTGGACACCTGTTTAACTTTTGTCCTTTCTCCAGGTTCATAGAGTTTCCAGAGATAAGCTATTATGGAAGTGGATGCCCCTCCTGCTTCCAAGCTTGCTTTAATTGGGGAGTTCCACCAAACGCCGTCCACCATGGGTAACCATTCTCTCATTTGACTCATAAGTGTCACAGTGTTTGGCTTCACAGCAACCATGAGTTATGTCTGTAATAGAGAAAAATTTAAAGTTGTCAGCAATTTCCTTTTGCTTGGTTCCACAGTCAGTGCCCTTGGAAACTGCAGGAAGAAATCAAAAGATATGTTGCATTGGGCAAGTGTGTTGTCAGGATGCTTTTCGAAGGGCTATAGAGCAAGGATGCCACTTTATAGACCAAAGTGAGCCTGACCCAACCCTTGGTGTTTTCCATTGCTTTTAATGCATCTGACAGCTGGACAATGAATAAGAATCAACAAAGAAGAAGAATCTTTGAATTGTGGTGATGGTGAAGAGTATTGAATATATATCTACACCATGGATTGCCAAAAAATAAGCAAGTACATTTTGAAGGAAATGCAACCAGCATGGACATTAGGTGCAGAGATGGTGAAAATATTACAAACATTGAGTAAATTGTCAGGAGGTTCCAGGCCTTGGAAAAAGGCATCATGCTGGAAAAAAATAATTCAGTAAAAGAGAGGAAAACTTGTGAGTGTGATGGATTGACACAGTCTCTTTAACGGTGGGTTTGATGATGGCAAAGATTGCTAGGATGGCACAGTGTAGGACAAGATTTCAAACTCTTGTTCAAAGGGTCAGTCTGAGGTTCACTCTGCGTGATGATACTTAATAAAATTACTGTTGAGTTGTTTTCAACCTAGTGATCCTGTTAAGACAGAGAAGACTTTTACCATAGGGTTTCCATGGTTGTAAGTCTTTGGGAAGCAGATTGCCACATGTTTCTTTTGGGGAATGACTGTGGGTTTGAACTACCAACCTTTTGGTTAGGAGCTGGGTGAGTTAATCACAGTGCTACAAGGGATCCTAGATCCATAGTAAGTTATCCTTATAGATAGAGTAGATCATATATAATTGTTTAGAACTTGGCAAAACTATTCTTTGAGGCAAATATAAAGTTGAATTTATGTTTAAGAAAAGTTTTAATAAAATGTTTTAATGCTAGTGATGATATTAAATAATACTATTTTATTTCTATTGTATTTTTGTAGAAGTGCTTTAGCATTTAAAAATATTATCCAGTGCGTGTATAAAAATGAAAAGATTAATCCAGAGAATCATGTTTCCTAAAACTTAAACACTATGCTGTCTAGTGAGCAGAACATGGAATATGGGGCTACAGGACTGTGAGAATTTCTCTGAAAGGGCCAGAGGGAGTGAGACTATCACAGCCTCTCTTGGAAGCAGGAGTGGCATCCAGTTCCTAAATAAAATGTCTCTGGAAACTCTGTGAACTTTGATAGATGTTGATAGTTGTGGAAGTGCTTCATGCCTTTTGTTCATAGGGTCGCTGTGAGTTGTGCTCGACTCAAAGGCAATAAAAAACAACAACAACAACAAGAACAACAACGACTCTTTAAAAAAAAAGCAACTAAAGAGCCCCTAGCCCAGCCCTGTGGTGCCTCTACACCAACAGCAAGAGGTTCATTTATTCATTGTTAACTCACAGACTTTACGCACAGTTGTTCTACTGAGAATGGGGTTTATTAGGGAAATAACTTGGAGAGGCAAAGAATATCACACAGTGCAAATCCAAGTTTTAGCCCAGCAGTCCCAAGGCACAATTCCTCAATTAGTCCAGGTTCAGGTTTCAGTTCAGCAACACAAATTGAAGAAATTTCTGGTTTCATCAATCATCCAACAAGGTTTGTTTCAGAGCAGTTTATAAGTCACTTTCTCCTTCAAGCATCCAGCAAGAACAGCAAAACCTCTAACTGTGGCCTTTATCTCAGGGTTCCTCTGGTTACACTTTGTTATGGTTTCTCCACAGCATTGGCACAGACTCTCCATCACCATTACCAACGTCTTGCCACCAAGGTCTCACTCTGGTTTTGCTCTCACCAGCGTCTTGTTCAAGTCTCCCTCAAGTCTTTCTGCTCAGTATTGGAAGCACTTTTTCTCTTATCCTAGTCCCATAGCTGTTGATGATTTGCTAGTCCATATGTCTGCAGTTATGTAGCTCTAGAGGAGAGGGGGCTAAGGAAATGACTTAAAAAAAAAAAAGCCAATTTTAGGCTGACAACACAGCCATACATATATACCAATTAAAGTTTTCTAGTTTATCTTAACCAAATCCGAGGCAACCAAAATATGACTTTGAGTCTATCCCACCTGAATTTCAGAACCATCTCAGGAACAGATTTGAGGCTTTGAACACTATTGAACGAAGGCCAGATGAGTTGTGGGAGGATATCAAGGGTATCATCCAGGAAGAGTGCAAACGGTCATTGCAAAGACA